ATTAATTGGTGTAGTGAGTCTCTGAGGAGGGATTTAGAATTGGCAGAGAGTGAGGCACGTGCAGACTTTGTGGAGTCATTGAAGCAGATTCTTTAATTTGTGATGAAGTCTGGAGTTGCACTCAGAGTTCAAACACGGTCAGTTAAGCATATCGACTTTTCTCTCAGCAGATCTAAAGATCCTGAGCTCGCCTCATTTTGGTGATGTAATGACTGAAGCTGGATATTTATTATTTGGTGGAACTGTCATCTCATTGGAGGGCCACTTTAGTGTTCAAGTAGTACAGAAAAAACAAAACCGACAAATATTTCTGAAAATGTAGTGGAGGTTTTTTCTTTTTCTTTTTTTTAAACATTTCTAATTTTGTATAATAAGACTAAACTTTTGTCCTTGTTCTCTTTCAGGTGTGCTGTGTTCAGTCTCAGCCGCACAGAAGGACGAGCTGGTCCTGGAGGGTAACGACATTGAGCTGGTGTCCAACTCTGGTACGTCTGCCTGCTGTTTCCTCTTTAGGTTTTCTACACCATAGGATGAAATGATATGATTATGTCAAGCTCCACCAGCAGATGAGGAGTTTTTCATTATTTCAGTCGCAGCCGTCCTGAAACTGATTCAGTGTCACCTTGATGCTCGGTGTAGATAAGAGTGAATAAAACATCAGAGGATGTTTGTCACCGACCTTATGGTTGGAAAACTGGACTCTGTGGACAGTTGTTGCACATCATCTGTACACACTACATGCAGTTGGACATCAGTGCAGCTGATAATCCAGTTTATCACACTTGACTTCTGATCAAGTTTCCCTCCACCTAAAGTCCTACTGTTCTCCTTACTGGGGTGCAGTGAGGGTTTTATCGATTATCTGACAGACATTAAGTTCAGGTTCTCAAATGAAATTATGGAAAGAGGATAAACTCAAATCAGAGAAGAACAGCGTCTGATCTCACCAGTGTTTTTAGACTATTGTAAGTTTGAGTTTCTCCTTGAATTGATTTTTCGCCTTCACTCTTCTACATTAAGGACTGAGCACGGTCTTGTGTTTGCACGTCTACTTTGATGAACAAAAACCCCATTGCTCCACCTCAGTTGAGGATTTTTTTTTGGTTTTTTTTGCTAGTCTATAGTTGTTCTCCAGAATCTGTATTTTTAGTTTTTGTCCATATTAGTCGGTTTTTTTGGCTCAGCTTTTGAAGGCAAAGCTTTGTTATACAGCAGTGAGTATAAATATCATATTGATGTCAAACAAAGGCCAAAAACTGTCACCTGACCATAATCCACTCAAGACTGTATATAATTTCTGAAAATGAGTTTAAAGTCAAAATGCTCCTGCAGGTGGATTTTCCTGTAAATCCCTGATGGAAGTGTGAGATGCTTTTAGACCTTTTTAACTACCTTTTGATTCACATGCTACACTCCAAACAGCTCGACCTGCATGTATAAAAAGGAGGGTCGGTATGAGACCGCTGCCTCAGGGACATATCAGGTTTTTCTGGACTTGTATCCAGATTCTTAGTAAAAACGTTGGAGATGAAATTTGAACTTGGAGCCAAAAAGACAGCAAACAGTGTGTCACACAGTCCTTCCTGAATCTTGTGTAATCCAGTTGTGATGTGCTACTTATCACCCCAACTTCTCTGTTGCAGCTGCTCTGATCCAGCAGGCCACAACTGTCAAAAATAAGGATATCAGGAAGTTCTTGGACGGCATTTACGTGTCTGAGAAGGGAACAGTCTTGGAACCGGAACAGTAAAAGTTACACCTACACTCTCGGAGGTTAGACATCACCATCCTCCTGGCCTGCATGCTCTGCTGGTTTTTCTTCCTTTTAATGGTTTCATTCTTTCAGATCTTTTTACACAATGCGCTGCTGCTCCACTTTATTTAAACTTATTTGTTGGGGCTCATGGATGTAGTTAAATTATTTTCCATTAATAAATACTCCTTACATGAAGTCGCCTTGTGTGAATCAATCTCCAAAAATCTGACTGGGCTTTTAACATTTTATCGGCAGTTTCAGATCATTACCAGTTTCATAAAAGCTGTAACTGATACGAACTGTTTTCCAGCCCCATGTGGTGTTTGTGTGGATGCTTTTGGCGTCACTGTCTGCATGAATGTGCACCACAGCGTGCATCTGTGCTCCTAAAGCTGCCCATTATTTTTGAAGTAAACTCTTCATTAATCCTCCCACTAAGTTGATCTCTGTCCTCACACTCGGCTCCTCTGTTTGTTTCCAGCAGCCCTGATCCAGCAGACCACCACAGTCGGAAAGAAGGACATCAGGAAGTTCCTGCGCAGCACAGTGCTAATGACAAGCTAATAAGACCAATAAACTAATGTGTTTTCCAGTTAATCCAGTCTCTGCCTCCCTTTCTTATTGGTTTTTGAGAATAGTTCAGCAAAATCTTGATATTGTTATAAATTGCACACGAAAGAGTCACTGGGGTAGTTCTACCCATCATCAGAAGTTTAAGATTTGAAGATTTTTATTTTCACTTTGTTCAGTGGATTTCCTTGTTTTAGTTTAGCTTCACTGTTAGTTTGAGTTGTTCTGTTTCAGAGGAAAGATTTAAGAAATTCAGGATGAATATTAATAATCAAACAGTGCTTGTTAGAAGCTGTTTCACTGGCCAGGTTTTGAATACTAAAACTAAAGACATTGTAATCACCGATGAACTTAAGGGCTGTGAATGGGCTGGATCCCTGCTGTCACAGGATGAGATGCAAAGTACATCGTGGACAGAATGCTGGGATCATGCTCAGCGACGGTGTTAAACACTACAACACTGTGCCCCCAAAACTGATTTTCTTTTACTTATACAAGTATACTGTTTTTGTTAAATTTCTGCTAAGCTCATGGTCAGTTTTTCCTTGTAGTTCATTATAATAACAATAAAACTGATGGATCAGATTCACTGAGCTTGTGAAAATACTGAGATTTCTTGAGGACCAAAGTGATTCACAGACAGTTTCCAGCACATCCACTGGTTTGTTGCCAGAATGGCAAGTTTTAATTTTGAACATGTAATCGAACACAGACTACTAAAAGCAAAAGATTTAACCCTAACGGTGTGAACACACCGTAAGACTTGCCTAAAACAAATGTCACATTTGTTACCTAGATTTTTACTTTTTGTTCTTAGCACAGCATTTCAGACTCCTCACAGCGCTGATACTTCAGTCTCACACAGACTGAGGTGGTTTGATGTGTGAGGCGTTTGTCTGACCTCAGGAACATCTTCAGGAGGACCAGGAGTCAAACAGACAACCTGTTCTAAAACCAGAGGAACTCAAATGCAACCTAACCTGAAGTTTTTCATAAACTCATCGTGTTTGGTTTGTGTGAAAGTCTCACGTTTAAATGCAAGAGGAGCAGAAAAAAAGATTAAACCTTCATTCCTCACAGTATCTATAAATTATTTGGGCTGTACAACTCGGATTAAATACATCCAGGTCGCTTCTCTTCTTCATACTATTATTTTTTAAAGAACAAACAATAACGCGGAAGCAAGAAAGTGGATTTGCTGGGGGGAAATGAAGGGAAGTAGTTTGAGTGGTGTTTTCCTCCGGGAGAGTAGTTTTGTTTTTTTTATTTGTATTTGCATTTTTAGTTAGAATCTGTAGGTTATTCAAGTTTTAAACAATATTCAAACAGTGCAGACACTACAGTTTATTTTTATTTTGTATTGATTGCTCAAACCATATGTATTGTGGTCATTTTTGGAGTTTAATTTTAGTTCATACATTTATTTATTTTACTTTCAATTCTACAATTATGGATATGAAAGTTGAGCATTATCAAATCAGTGATACAGCTCATTGCTTTCAGTGGTAAAAGCGCGCAGATTTTACCGGAAATTCTTCACAATAAGAAATGAATGCAAAAAAAAAAAAACCGCCAAATTAAAACAAAAAAAAAAAATAATTTTTTGTTATTTATTGTTTTAAACTTTTTTTTATTTAGTTAGCTTGACATATCTGTAAACATTTAGGTTTTCTTTAGTCGAATAAAAAAACGTACTCGTGGTGACGCGGTGACGCACGCCAACCAGCTGCCGGAGCGTCATTTCCAGGCGACCGCGGACTCTTGCTTCGCGCCAAGCAGTTGAAGCTTTTTCTTACTTTTTTTTTGATAACAGACCAACACAGCGAGAAAGCGCGTTCATAATGGTACGTGACATATTTCAGCTGCTTTTTCACTCAAACTGGAGCCTGTGTGCATAAACACAGCGGGTAAATATGGAGGAAATGATGCTGTTGTGTGGTTAAACCTTGCTGCTGCTACTGATGATGATGATGAAGCGCAGTGCGCAGTTAGCTCCTGCTAAAGAGGATAAACTTCAGTCCTTTGGTTCAGGTGGAGCTTTGAGCAGCAGGTGAAGAAGGTGAAATCTGTGAAGTGTAAGAGCGTTCAGTTTGTAGTTTGTGTAGCTGTGCGGTCTGCTGTGGAAGCACACTGACTAACATGCAGAGGGGTGACAGTTTAAAGGAAAACCATAAAGCAGTGGGTGTAGAAGGACACACACAGGTGCAGATGCTTCCTCACAGCTGCACTGCAGGCTACAGTGAAGCAGCAACATCTGTGGCATGAGTGAAAAGACTGAGCTGACTTTGAATACGTTTGTTTTTGTTTGGGTGCCAATAAGGTGATTTTAATTCACTTAAATAAAACTAAAGATAAAATCGTTTTGTTTGTTTGTTTTTTTAAAAAAAAGCAAAATTAACTGATGTAAAATCAAAAGTTGACTCGTGGTGTAAACTCATAAAACCTAGCATAAGGAAATGTCCTTATGCTAAGATTTTCACTGGGAGTGACAGGATGAGGGAACATTCATAGATGTAGTGAGGACATGCAGAGGGTTGGTGTGACAGATGGTGGTTATGTCCACTAATGGGAGCAGCAGAGTGAAGAGGATGGCTTCATTCAATTAGGGAAAATATAGGGAGGAACTAGTGGGTATGAATATATTATCAAGGAGGGCCAGTCGGTATTAATTTATGTATCTGAGTAAGCATAATAAAATGGATTTAAGTAAAATAAGTTATTGGGGAACCAAAATAACTACAAATAGGTATAAAATAAGTGAGCTAGTCTACAGACAAGATTGGTAAATAATTAAAATAATAAAAGATTTCCACTTTTTGGGGAAAAATGAATATAGCTGCCTTTGACTGTGAAATTCATCTTTTCTAATTTGCAAAATGAGATCATGTGCTTGAGCTGCAAAGATGTGGATGGGGTAGGATGGAAGGATACAAAGTCTCACTGAGATGTCAAAGAATGAAATAGTTTTGCATTCGTAGCTCCTACTCCCAGGCACTTTATGAGTCAGGATGTATAGTTTTGATAAAAGTGATTTTTTCCCCTGTTTTTTCCTTTTACGTAATTCTGTAATTCTTACAGTTTGTACTCTTCTGTGTGTGCAGGACATCAGGCGGTTCTTTGCACCGACGTCGGCTAAGCCTGCGGTGCAGAAACCTGCCCCGAACGGAAATGACAAACAGGAGAAGAAGAAGAAGAATTCCTCGTCAACGGACGAGGAGGTGAAAAAGAAGAAGAAAGAGGCCAACAAGGTGAGGAGCTGCCCCCTCTCCTTGTCTCCTTTCTCTGTTCCTCTTCATCCTGTTTATCCAGCTTTATTGTGGTTTCGTGTTCTGTAGGTCAAAAGCAAAAAAACTGAGGAGCAACGCAAGGATGGGGAGAAAAAACGAAAGAAGCACGCAGTCATAGCCTCGGGTAGGCATTTCCTCCACAGTGATGTCTCGGTGTCACAGCATTGTTATTTTTCTGAAGGTTCTTAAAGGATTTGTTAAAATACATTCCTTTAAAATGTAGTTTATTGCTGTTTGATGAGATGTATGCGGGGACTCAGCGACCTGCAGCATCCTCAGGCTCTTCTGTGCATCTGGATTTAAAAAAAAAAGATAACACACATTTTCAAAAGTTTACAAAAGATTTAGCCTCATGTTTTCATCCAAAGATGAATGGAAATAGTTTGTAGATTTAGATGAGGACAGAATTATTAGCCCCCTATGAAAGTTGAATTTTTACCCCCTCAGACGCAGAAGAACTAGCAGGGTCAAAATGTTGTAGTTTTCAACAGTCTCACATGTGCTCCTGACCAATCACAGCTCATTCTTCCTCACCTAATCTTCTTCATGATCCCTTCCACTTTGAGTTTCTTGGAGCCTTGCAGCCCGTTTCTGTGCAGGGTTCTAGTGATGCGTTGTGTTTGTGCTCAGACTCAGATGAGGAGGAGCCAGTGAGGAAGTCAAAATCCCCCAAAGAGAAAGCGAAGACGAACAAAAAAGATCCCGTGCAGTACGTCTCTGAAACAGGTGATGCTTCAGATGTGCTCTTACCCCAGCGTTAAAGGGAAAATGTCCTTTTTTTATAAACGCGTGATAGGAGGCCTCTCTTTTCTGCTTGTAGACTCAGACAGCGACAACTTCCAGTCCTTGAAGAAAACTTCCAAATCCAAACAGAACGGCGCCGCAAAAACGACAAAAGCGGACGCCAAACAGTCGGCGAAGTCTCCCGTCAAGCCATCCTCCACCCAGGGAAAAACCACACCAAAATCTCCTCCTGTGCCTTCCACCCCAAAGTCAGCTCCGCCCCCTCAGTCCAAACAAACCCCCACATCAGTACTCGATTACTTTGGCAGCGCGAGTGTTCAGCGCTCGGACAAGAAGCTGGTAGCCAGCACCAAACGAAAGGCTGTGAGTACTGAGGCATTACTTCTGTGTGTGTTTCCTTGTTTTTTTTTACTCATCCTCTCATGACTCAGTAACGATCCTTTGTAAAAACTCCTCAGCCGACTCTCACAGACGACCTGATAAGCGATGAGGAAATCGCCAGGCAGCTGCAGATGGAAGAGGACATGGAGGTAGGCTGATCAGCCGCTGCTGGTTTATTTGACTTTGAATTAGAGCTGCTCAGTAAATTGACAGATGGCTTTGACCCGTAGTTCATTACAGCTCTTCTGCTGTTCTCATGTTTTTGCTGCTTCACTCTCAGCTGGAGAAACAGGTCCACGAGGATGAGGAGTTTGCCAGAACGCTGGCCATGCTGGATGAAGAGCCAAAAGCGAAGAAGGTAAAGGCTGCGAGCATTAAAAAGGTTTGTGCAATTAAATTCTCAAGTTTATTTCAAGTCTTGTTTCTTTTGTCTTCCCAACCATCCAGGCTCGCAAAGGCTCTGATGAAAAACAAGTCTTGACCACGAGCCCCAAAAAGAAAGCCACAGACGCTGCCGCCCCTGGGAGCAGCTCGAAGACCAGCGTGTCTGAAGATGTGGTTAGTCCGTCTCCCAAAAAGACCACAGCTCCTGTAAAAGCCAGCTCCAAACTGGCC